ATTTCCATGCTTTGTTGGGAAGAATGGCCTGAATAGCTACAGAGCCCTCCACTTCATTTTCTTCCCCCCCCTCATGGGTATCCTGGTGCTGGGAATGGGGAATAGAATCCAAAGGTAGCACCAGGCAGGTGTTTCCTTTCTGGAGCCAGTGAGTTGTGGTGATTATGCCCCATCAGGGCTCAAAGGACAGAGCCAGGACATCAATATGCATGATCTGATGTCAGGCAGGGACCGGGAAGGGGATGGATCCTCTCCCAAAACACGGAAAAATCCGTCCTGCTGAGATTTCAGGCAAACTAACAGAACAGTCCAGGCTCCAGGTGTGTCTGAAATCACAGGCATCCACACATTCCACACCAAATAGATAGATAAGATTTTTCAGGAACAGGGCAAGGAACAAAAAATCTTGCAGTGGTTACTCATTAAACACTTCTTTGTAACTCAGGTTGAAACACAGGTGTTCCTCTCTCAGTGAATCCAAAACAATAATTGAGAGAACACCAGCAATTATCCAAAAGAAATATCCTAAACTGAGTCATAGAATCACGGAACGGTTTGAGTTGGAAGGGACTTTAAAGCTTGTCCAGTTCCACCCCCTGCCATGGGCAGGAACAACTTCCCCTAGCCCAGGTTGCTCCAGCCTGGCCTGGGACATTTGCAGGGATGGAACAGCCACAGGTTCTCTGGGAAATCCAGTCCAGGGCCTCCCCACCCTCTCAGGGAAGAATTCCTTCCCAATATCCCATCTAACCCTGCCCTCTGGCAGTGGGAAGCCATTCCCTGTATCCTGTCCCTCCAGGCCCTTGTCCCAAGTCCCTCTCCAGCTCTCCTGAAGCCCCTCTAGGCACTGGAAAAAAAAAATGAAAAAATAGGAAAAAGAAAGGAAAAATCGGGGAAAAATTCAAAAAATGGGGGAAAGAGGAAAAAAACAGAAAAAGGAAAAAACAGGGAAAAATAAAAAGAAAATTAAAAAACCTAACAGAAGTAACTACTAAAAAGCTGCTTGTTGGGTTTTCAGGGCAGGCACCTCAAGGATTTTTCCTGATGCTCCACAGAGGGAAGACCTGGAACACACCCGGACACCTTTTCCCCTCCGAGCCTGTTGCCAGGCTGGGTTTGCCAAGCTGCAGCTCTTCATCCACACGGGATTTCAGAATCCACCCAGGGGACTGTTTTCCATGCTGAGGGTTCTACTTCCAGCACCATTCCCAAGTTTCCCAGCTGTTCCTGTTCCAAGTGCCCCCCGTCCTGCTCTCCTGGTTAACGCAGCAATAAATCGGTGTATTTGCAAGAGTTTAGTCTGGTTTCTGTCCTATCAGAGACTTATATTTGGCTAAAATTCCCCCAATTTCGCTAATCCCTAATTAGGGAAATACTATCACCTTTCCAGTCTCCACAGGATAAAGACAAATCAATTAATGAAAGAAAAATGAGCCATGGCATCAGGGAATAAGACACGGGGGGGGGGGGGAAATCTCTTATTTTAACCCTTACAATTTTATTCCACTGCAAAATTGCTAAAAAGGCCACTGGATGTGAAGTGAAACATCCTGTCAGAGTGTGGGTAAAAGAAATAATCAGCTTCTATTTTTGATTTTTAACACTAGAAAACCAGTATATTCGGGCACTGCAGCCCATAAATGTTGGTTAGATCCATTAAATAAATTATATGTTATATGTATTTATGAAATAAGTGCTTTATATATGAAGTGTATACACACATGTTATCTAGACACAAAAATTGCTGTAGGAATGTTGCAATTTTATAGAAAACATCCAGGTACAGATTTCAAGGGGTGGAAATAAGTGGGTTTTTCAAGGCTGGTGAGGCAAATGGGTGAAGGTGATCATGTTACATCTGCTTAAATCCACCTTTCCCCTTGTTCCCCCTCTGCCATCACTTTAATCTTATTTTCAGGCTCTTCCTGATCATTCCCATCACTGTACTTCAGTCCCAGCACTCACACAGGGAATGTGGGGGATGGAAACTCCCCTCCCTTTTCTTTTCTCCCCATTTTAAAACGTTTTAAATGTATTAAGTTTCTCGCTGCCACAGCAATCAACACCAAGGCCACTCTCTCTGATCCCAGATAAGATAATTGCTTTTCCTGAGCACCCACATCTCCTCAGTGCTAATTTAACCTCCAGAGAGGAGGAAAAAAAAATCCTAATAATTATTGCCTTTTTTAAAAAACCCGAACAGAAACTTCTACAGGAGCCTCATTTCAAAGGCAGCAGCTGATGGAATGGACTTTCACACCTTTTTTCCACACCGTCAGTGCCTTTAGTTGAAGTTCTACAGTTAAAAACTCATTAACATGCATGGAAATGAGGAGGTTATTTGTAAATTCCGAGGGGTTGATTGCCTGGAATCACGTTTTACTCCGAAACAATGGTAATGAAACATCAAGCAAAGATGACAAGGAAGGTCATCCGTGTGTTCCCAGCACTCAACACCAAGAGGAAAAGACTGGTCTCTTCAATAAAAAATATAAAATAGTAATATGTACAGAAGGAATTATGATCTCAAAAAAAAAAAAATCCCCCAAACCCAACATTTTCCTTATTAACACGCTGGGTAAACCAGTTTTTTTGGTAGGTAGCAGCAAAAGCACACCTTCAATAAGCTGTTCTTTCACCCAAACAAGGATTCTCAGCCTCTGATTCCAGCTAATTAATCACGGAGAACAGCTCATAATAACAATATAAAATCGCAATTTAAATGCTATTACCAGGCACGCTGTTAGTGGGAAAGGAGAGCTCTTGGTTGGGAGTATTAAGGTGAGCCTTTAATTGTGTATTAAATAACGCAGCACTGAAAATACAAGTGGAAGAGCCAAGCCCAACTGATCCAGAAAAGTGCAGAGCTGCAGGCCCAGGGATACGCTGGATATTCCTCCCATTTATTCCAGCCTCAAAAATCCAGGAAAGAACCCACTGGGGACGGACAATAAGCAACAAAAACTTGGGTGGTAACAGGTACAACAAGGTGAAAAACACTCTGTAAAAGGAACTCCTCGACCAAACAAGACACAGGGAAATTTAAACACAGGTCCTGTAATTCCTCCCATCCATTCACAGCACTTCCCATGTAATTAGGTGGAAGTTCTAAACACTGACCTGGTGTTTCCCTTGCCTTTGGACAGGTTCTCCTGCTCCCAACAAAAGCCCTCTGTGTTTGGGAACTTGGCACCCACGTGCAGGGCACCAAGACACAATTTTGTTGGAAAAAACAGCAAAGCTTGCAGTTCTGGGAAACTTATTTTCCCTGTCTGCCCCTTCCACTCCTTTTAACCTGCCAAAACCAAGAATATTCTAAATTCCTGAAGGCATTTGGCTAGAATCTGTGAAAAGGTTTGGCTGAGAATTTCCAGCTCCCTTTATCGCTAGTTTTAAAGGAATATCCCATTATCGACAAAAGCGACTTCCCACTTCTTTTGAGCCCAACTTGTCTCCCCAAAAAAAAGGCTTCACGGGCAGTTTTATTACCACCACCTCCAGAACAGAAAAATCCTTTTAGAGGTTCTGGAAGAACCATCCCACATTGTCCTGGAGCTCCTCAGCAATCCAAGGAAGCGATCCCACAAGCCTTCATTCATCCCAGCAGCCATTCAGTGGCTCTCAAACGATGCAGCTGCATTGCTGGAAAGCTGGGGGGGGTGTGTTTAAATCCAAGGAGCTGAAAGCCTCACTTGTTAAGCCTGAGCCTTCCAAAGCTGAGAACATAATTATTTTTCCAACTTATCACGACTATTCCCTAAATGCAGCGACTGTTGTGTCCCTGCATGTAAAAGACATTCCCGGTGTCTCACTGAGACGTGAATTAAAAGTGACTTTAAATTCTCTCCATCACTACAAAGAACACCCAATACCTGCTCTGGAGCCCGGTTTCAGGAGGCAGGTATTGATCCTGTCACTGAAAAATCCCTATATTTCATCAAATCAAGTTCACCTGCCGATGGAATGGATATATTCCAACGTAAATTCATGTCCAAAGAAAAACTGGAGCGCCAATAACTTACAGAACGTCATCAGCGAGTGGATTAAATTCAGCACAAATTTACTTGGATTTACAAAGCGTTTTCAGCCGAGTTCGGGGCAGAAAAACCAGCCCTAAAAACCTGCCCGTGGCAGACACAGAAATCCTCTTTTCCTGCCAGAAAATCCAGCCCCCAGAAAGCATTTACTCTGTTATTTTGTGGGTGATGCAGCACTAAAAGGATTTTTAACATCCTAAAACTCCCCTTAGACCCAGCCCAGTGCCAGGCTGTGCTCCCCCATTTCCCTCCTGTCACTGCCCCAACACCAATTCCACCATCAGGCACATCTCCAGTTGTATTTACTGGATATTGAGCCCCCACGAGCTCAGATTTTATTCCACCTTTAATCTATTCGAAAATAAATTAATGTCTTTTTAATCTTCAGCTCCAAGAGCCTTTCCTGTAAATTAAACAGGCGGCTGCCCCTTATTAGATGCTTTTTAATTTTGGAACCAGAGAGGAAAAAAAATCAATCCTGCCTCTTTTCTCCCCAACAAATCAAAATTCATTCCACTCCCTATCACGAGCAGGAGGCCAAATCTGCTTTTATTTCAGCTGAATGAGAAGCTGCTCCCACTGAGGAATGTGAATGTAAATTTATTTTGGAGCCAGTGTGCCAGAACACATTTCCTCTCCCTCTAATTGACCTGATTTTACTTTTTTACTCAGGTTTCACACTGAATTCTGAGAAAACATCACCAAGAGTTGACTGACTTTGTAACAACTGGGGAAAAAGAAATGTTAAAAATGTCTTCTGGGCCCAAGAATTTTGAGTCAAACTGCCCATGGAACCCCAGAATGGGCCCAAGCCCTGCACAGACCAATCTGATTAGGAACTTCAATATTTTCACAGGAACTAACTAATGGAAAAAATAAATTAAAACACTGTGGAAATTTGCTGATGAACAAATTACCCCAAAAGAAAAACAACACAACCATTAAAATGCTTCCAGAACCTACCTGTGCATATTCCTTCTCGATTGCAGCTCTTTTCTGACTGAAGGCTCTGAAAGAGGGGGGAAAAAAAAAATCCATTAATACCTAAACCAACCCACCACAAATTCAATTTCCTTCAATTATTTTCTCCAAGCTACACAAGAAACTACCAAGCTTCAGGCTATGCCGTGAGCAAAAGGAAAATCTAATTATATTTAAATTAGTTACACAGTAATTCTGGTGGCACATCAATTAAATAAAAATAAAAATCCTCAGGAACATCCTCTAATAAGGAATTCTGGACAGGCTCTTTCTCCTCCATCTCACCATGAGGAATAGCCACATTCTGATGGGTGTTACAGGCTCACTTTTCCCAACAGGATGTGAAACAAAAATCTAAAAGCATCGTGATTGTTTAAAATTCTTCCCAGAAGATCTGGCCACATTCCAGTTCCAAGGATTAAACTTCCCAAATCCCCCCCTGTGTAGCTCAGTGGGTACCAAGGGCTGTGACTGACCCATGGAACACCTCAATATGAGTAATAAATTATTAAATAATAATAAAAACTACTATTTGGTAAAGTATTCAAAGTATTCCACCTAATATTATAAAACAGTTTCTTTCAGGATCTCCTGTTCCAAAGCCCAGCTTAGGAAACACCCAGAACCCAAAATATCCTTTTAAAAGAACCTGTTTTTTGAGCAAAATGATAAAGAACTACACAAATAACTACAAGGAACAACTGAAATGTGCCATCAGTGTTGAAAAGGTGAAAGAAAACAACCTGCTGTCTTTGGAACCTAAATCTGGGAACTCCTTCTCCAATTGCCAGGTAGCTGCAGTGCAAAACGTGGAATCAGAGGTAAATTTTCAGGATATTCAGTTTACACCCAAGCTGGATAGGAAATGTGTATTTTACCTGAGGTCTTCCCCCACCTCTGAACCAAATTCCACTTGAACTGATGGCATAACAATGCTGGAAGCCTGAGATATCCCCAAAAACCTTCTCCAGGAAAAGTTTTACATCAGGGAACTAAAACAAAATCAGAATCAGATTTACTCCCAAAACTGCCTGAAATCTTGGACTTGGATCGACCACAAGCTCCAGCACGAAGAGCACTGATTGTACAGAAGCACCTCCTTCAATCAGAAATATTTCACATTTTAAATTTTTGTATTTTAAGTAGGGGGTTTACAGAACAGGTGGGCAAGACAGCACATAATTCAATTTACAGTATACCTAAATTGTGTTGGATCTGTGTTGTGATGAATGAACAAAATGCTTAAGTGCAGGTAATACAAAGCTGGTTTTATCCTAGGGACAGTTTATCCAGGAATCCTTCTACAACAACTATAAATATATCACAAAACAGGACAAAAATCACAGCCTGGAGCAGCCAAATTTCCCAGGAGAAAACTCTTTTGAGCAGGGAAAAAGAAAAGGCTGACTAATAAATGCATCAGGGAGCAAATTCCATGTGTGTATATCTTGATTTATCGTGCAAAGCTGGCATGTTCTTTACTGTCGTTCAAGATGGAATTTCAAATCCATTCATCTCATGAAACAATTGGGTTTATAAGGCAATGAAATGTTCTCTAACTGTTACTGGTAAGTTTTTAAGACTGTATTTAAATCACCCAGGTCAATTTAATACAACAGGTGCTCTGAAATATTGAGGGATCCTTTTCTATTTTCCTTGTAAATCAGCATAACAATGAGAAGGAGGAGTCAGGTCAGTGGACAATGAGACTTCAAGGAGTTTTCCAACAGAGAAACAGGAGAAACTAGTGCCTGGATGTCTTGGGCTGGCCATCCTTCGTGAAAAAATCAATATATTAACATTAAAATATACGTTAGTCATTTATAAAACGGTGTTATATTTGTCCAGTTGTACAAATCTCAAGATGAAAGTCACACCTTGCACAGTAAAACCAGTTAAACCCAATGACACCCTGAAAATCAGAAAGGGAATTAGGTGCTGTATGAAAATTTAACTCCATAGAGCTATGCAAAAATGGAAACATACACCCCGTGGCCAGGGCTCTTGAATAAAAGAAGGGGTTAAATTTGCATCAGTGAATGTATTTCCATTTAAAGCCGAGAAATTCAACAAGGCTGGAATCACATTTGGAACAAGGTCATGATAAAGGTTCAAAAAACCAACGGATTAACTGGCAAATTGGTCCAACTCACCCAGCACGAGCAGTTGGGGTTAATACATTTCTTTGGTTATGAACTTTCAGATCAATTGCTTGGCAAATTTTAATGCCATTTGAAAACCCTTCCGATTTCCGTGACCACGCAAAGCACCAGAAAAAGTACAGATGAGTACCTGAAACGTCCAAAAAGAAGGTTGGACTAAAGGAACACACCTTTTTCTGACCTTGACCTGAGAGCCCCCAAGCCCTGTCTAACAAAAGACAGCTAAAACAACGTGCTCAGCTTTACAAAGCCTGGATTTCCCAGCTCAGCACAACTGGGAGCAGCAGAGTTGACCCTTTCAGTGCCTGGGAGGTGATGAAAGGAGCAGGGGAAAATTAATATGCACACACTGCATGGGCATGGTGACTCCCCAAAAGGCTTTTTAAAATCCTTTTCATAGAGGCTACTGAATCAAAACATCATTTTCTCTTCGTTTCATAATCAAAACAGCATTTTCTCTTTGCTTTATGAACTGTCAGCAAGTGAAAGCCACGTCAGGTGATGCAGAGCCAGGGAGCAGATCCATAAAGCCCTGATACAACGAGAAAAGAAATGGAAAAAAAAAAAACAAAAAGGTAAAGGAATAAACCATTTTCCCTTCTTTCACTATCATGAGTTATTAAGGCAATTTCAAAATTTGGTTAAAAGTGAATTCACCCCATCAAAAATTCTTAGTAAAATACTAAAACACGTTGCTACTGGTTGGTGGATTGAGTCACATTTAAACACTCAAAGAGGTGAATCAGGGAATTTTGAAATACCCAAAAATTCCTAGCTTCCCAGAAGGCAGCTCAAGGATAATTCCTGACAGTTACAACATATGCCAGTGGAAAATTATGACTTTACAACTTGTACACTTGGGGCACAAATGCTCAGTGTGAAATCATGTCCAAGCTAACACTATCCTGATTCACTGAGGTGAAAGTACACACTCACTCCAGAATTTTCCATTAAAAACATGACAACTGCTCTGGTTTAAGAAAAAATAGAAGGAAAATAAAAAGGGGAGCAACCCCACAAAGCTCCAAAGTCACTGTTAGGTATCAAGGTGGAATTGCCACAGCTAGTTTGGTTCCTTTTCCCCCAGTGACAAAAACCACTCTTGAAAAATCTCATTGCCACCTCTGTCCCAGGGAAGACGTGCAGGAACACGGGCTGAGCCCCCCCCCAAAAATCCCAATCTACCTCTGAAACAAAACCTGCACATGGGAAGTTAAAATCCAGCCTTAAATATCAATTCCTGCCTCCCTGAAGGGGCAGATCTCAGGTGCCTTTTCCACTGATGAGATGGAATTTATTTCTTGGAAGGAAGGCAAACTGATCCCAACGCACGAGCACCAACCCTGCTGGGGAACAACACACACTTCCAATATTCCTGTCCCCACGGCACTGCAATTCCCAGCCTGGCTCAAGGCTGGAGTGATCCTGGGCAGGACTTGGCATTTGCCTTTGTTGACCTTCCCGAGGTTGTGCCAGCCCCTGTCACCCAAGGTCACCCTGGACACGGCCCTGCCTCCAGCACATCAACCTGTTCCCCAAATTTAACAATCCTTAACCTGCCCAGAGCTCCATCCCACCATGGCCATGGGGTGTCTGTTTCCAGTTTTGCATAGCTCTGGGTGGAGTTAAATTTTCATACAGCACATAATTCCCTTTCTGATTTTCGGGGTGTCACTGGGTTTAACTGGTTTTACTGTGCAAGGTGTGACTTTCATCTTGAGATTTGTACAACTGGACAAGTATAACACCGTTTTATAAATGACTAATGTGTATTTTAATGTTAATATATTGATTTTTCATGATCCATGCCCTTCCTGGAGTCATGGATCCAGCACGGACCTCTGAGGGACACCCAGAGGTGTCTGAGGGACACATCCAGAGCCAGCTGGACTTTGCAGCACTGCTCCCCACCGCTTCCAACGGAGAAGTCCAGCCAATTTTCCACCCCCTTATCAGACCCCGTGTCCCTGACGTGGCCACAAAGGTGCTCCAGGACACTGTGTCAAAGGTAACACGGACAACGTGTTCTCCCTGTCCACATTCCCAGTTTTCCCAGAAGGCAATCAGGCCCAATTCACCCTTGGCTACTCCAAATCACCTTCCTGCCCCTCCAGTAAATGACTTCTTGGGAAAGAAGCCCTGAAAGAAGCTTTGAAAATGGTTTCTGGGAGGTTTTGCTCCGTAATATTTCCAAGAAGCAAGGGAAAGCCGAGCAGCCTCCTTCCAGCAGAAACAGGTATGGAATTCACCTTTCTCCAGCCATCAGGAAGCTCCCCGACTACCATGAGCTTTCAAAGATGACTGGACCATCTCACTGCCCCTCTGGAGTGTGAATAAGCTCAAACCCTGCAGTGCACCTGCAGGTACATTTGATCCCAGCTCGGCGTGGGTTTGGCTGGGACGGAGTTAATGTTCTGCACAGTGGCTGGGCTGGGATTTGTGCTGGGAACACAAAGTTCAGAGCAGAGATAACTCAGGGATGGTTTGCTATTGCTGAGCAGGGCTTGCCCAGCTCAAAGCCTTCTCTGCTCCTCACACCACAGAACCACAGGCCTGGGCTGGAAGGGACCTTAAAGATCATTAGTTCCACGCCCTGCCATGGGCAGGGACACCTTCCACTAGCCCAGGGTGCCCCAAGTCCCCTATCCAATCTGGCCTTGGACACTTCCAGGGATGGGGCAGCCACAGATGCTCTGGGAAGCCACTTCCCACCAGCGAGTGGCTGGGAGTGCGCAAGAAGTTAAGAGTGGAGACAGCCAGGCCAGCTGAGTCCAACTGACCCAGGGACATCCCAGACCATGTGGCATCATGCTCAGCAATAAAAGCTGGGGGAAGAAGGAAGGGGGAATGTTTGGAGCGATGGCAT